GCATTGAAGCAACTGCCATGTGATTGGTTGATTCGATAATTGCATTAATGAGAAATTGAACAGGTGTTCCTAATAATCCTTTAGGTGAGTGTACAAGGGATGCACATAACTGTTGTGCAAGTATGCATTTGCCGTACAAAGTGATACACACCGCATCTTCTTGTCATAACAGTGCAAATGCATTATGACAAGAAATTACTGCATTTTAACTTTTGTACTGTGAAAGAAGTATGCAAAAGGTTAAAATACACTGTAATTTGCAGTGCTCTGACAAGTAATTGACATGCGTATAGCTTTTTATATGGCAAATGCATACGTGCACACCAGTTACATCTATCCCTGTTAAGTCAGTTATCCACAATTCTCCATCTTGGTACCTCCTGCGGGTCCGTAAATGTTTCGTTCTTGATGCAGCATGTACAGCTGGACGCTATAAGCCAGAGAATGGGAGTGCAGAATGCCTCCCTTGCCCGCCCAACAGCATAGCGGTGCGAGCAGCAGCGGAGGAGTGCAGCTGCCTGGACGGCTACTTCCGTGTGGCCAGTGACCCCGCTGACGTGGGCTGCACGAGTAAGAGCACTTCTCAGAGTGCTGCTCTTCATACACCATATGGACAAAAGCATTGGGACACCTGGCCATCACACCTACAGGACATTTTATGGCTTCCCATTCTAAATCCACTCTCCTAGGGAGCCTTTCCACAAGAGTCACCAGTTCATATCCTGTGGTTGTTCTCCTGAACAATGCTTATAAGAATTATAATAAAATAAAGCAACTGCTAAGTAATAAATCTACTAAAGTGTTTTTTGGTCTCTGCCACTTTGTTTTAACAGAACCCCCCTCAGCCCCCACCAACCTGAGAGTCTGTCACCTGAATGGCACCACCCTTGAGCTTTGCTGGGGACCACCAGCAGACCAGGGTGGCCGAGTGGAGGTTTGGTACAGCGTAGAGTGCTGGGAGAGGGAAGGGCAGTCGCAGGGCCATTGGGAGGCCTGCGGGGGCGCTGTGCGTTTGCCCCCACATTCCCAGCGGCTCCGTGACACAGCCGTCAACATCACAGGCGTGCAGCTGCACCATGACTACCGGCTGACTGTCCAGGCAATGAATGCTGTCAGTGTGAAGTCACAGCTACAAGGTGCCACCAAGTCCATAACAATTGACAGATGTGAGTAGCATTTTTTGTTGGGGGGGGGGCGGGCATAAAATAATCTATAGGTTCCTTTCACCTTTCATCAGTGCTGCTGGGCATGAAAACACTGACAATGCTGGGCATCGGATTTCATATTCAGGACTTGCACAAGAGTGATATTTGCTGGACTTTCCACAGGAACTTTTTGGCTTGGTTATGTGAGGCAGGAAGGAAATGACACGATTGATTACAAAACACATTTAGTGAAGTCTATGGCTTTTTCTGGAAGCTAGGTACCAATTTTAGCCCTGTTAGGTCTTCAAATAATTGTCCCTCTGTGACCAATGATGAATAAAATGCTTCCTTTTAAAAAAGTTTTAAATATTTAAATGCCTTTTAAATATTTGTGTAACCTGAGTAACCTGAGTATCCTACCATGTGTGAACCTTCCTGTTTATTGTGTAACCTCCCTGCGTTTGCTTCTGTTTGCGTCTCGCTGTGTTGTTGCTTGTCTGTGGTCCTTTTAAGGACTGTAATTAAAGAGCAGCTTTTGTATGAGTTTGTCTCTCCTCATGTTTCTTCGCCGCTCCCAGTCTGCCTCAGTCTGCCTCACGCCACAATATTATATTTCTTTTTCAAAGCCAAAATTTACAAAATGGTTCTTGATTTTATTTTTCTCTGTATTGGAAAGCTTCATAAGGCTGAATTATCTGTGGTCAAACATTATTATTGCTGGACAGAATGAACCGGGTGTTTTTTTTGTTATAGGGAAAGCAGACGTCACACACACTCCAGGTCCTCAGCCGCTGGAAGATCAGTCTCTCCCCCCGTGGCTCCTATGGGCTGTGATCCCCACATCCCTGATGCTGACAGCCCTCATTTCTTCAGCTGCTTGCCTCATACGTCACCGCTACAAGCTGCACAGGTGATTTTTGTTTGAATGGGTTTAAACTAACCCTTCCCTCATCATTGATAATGTACTGCGTGACATTTCGATCAACCATGGGCCACATATACGGTGCTAGTTCCACAAGATTATGATGGAGCTAAAAAAATTATTGCCTGATGCCGTAGCTGTCATAGCGTGTTTATGGTAATGCTGGTGTAAATAAACCTACTGCGCTGCCAGTATAAAAAACACATACATAATACTTAACAATAAACAACTACTGTTACTGTTTCTTGTTACTGGTTTTTGTATTTATTATACTGTACTTTTATCATTATTTAGGCTATACGATATAGCCTAGGTGTGTAGTAGACAATACCATCTAGGTCTGTGTAAGTACACTGTATGATGTTCCCGCAACAATGAAATCACCTAACGATGCAATTCATAGAACGTATGACTGTTGCGACACATGACTGTATAGATTCTGGTAAGTGTAACTACAATGCACATGTATTGTTTCTACTTTATATGGCCTGTGTATTTATCATATCATTCCTGCTTTTACTGTATATTAGTGTTATCTGCTATTATTTAGTAGGTTATTTGTTCAGTCTGGGAACGCTCAGAAATACTTCTCGTATAAAGAAATGGTAATTGCTTCTTAGCTTTATATCATTTTGGCTTATAAAAGATTTCATAGGAACGCTGTACTTTTGGACAGCCTGGGAAACCCGTATGTATGTTTCTTCAGTAGGGGGGAAGTTACTTGTGTTGCCCTTGCTGCTGGTGTTCAGGCATACATATCCATATCACTTCATTTGACTGCTACAAATGAAATATGTGATTTGTAATAAATACTTCATTAACCCTCTTTAGCAGGATCTATGATTTTTTTTAACTGACACAACACATCACCGCTTTAACATCAAAATAAAAATGTCTCCTGTCCTGCAGTTTATTCTTTGTGTATGGTGGATGAGCATTGCACTTTGTCTATCTGAGCTGTTATCTCTGTCATGTACAGAGATCAGGATCAGGTGCTGAAACTGATGCCCATCCATACAGGAACAACGTACCGCCGGGAAGAACAAAATCACCAAGGACCTCATCAATCCAACAGTGAGTCTTATTTTTTTTATGTTTTTGTGTTCTTACAAGAGAAGCATGTGTTCACAACATGCATTTGGAAGCCTTGTTTTGTAACATAAAATCTGTGTTATTTGATTTGTGATTTGTGTTATTTTGACTTTACAATGGGTAAATGTTTTTCACTTTCAGTAAAAAATAATTCATAAATTAAATGAATTATTCAACACTTTTTCTATAGCTTAAGCTTTATGTTAACCCTGTAGCACCCAAGCATAGAACTAATCATTGAAAAAAATCATTTTGGCTTGTTTTGCATCTTTTGGGGTGGGAGTAAACCAATATCAGTGGAATTTTTGAAATTGGACCAATTTTGACCATTTTAGGCAATGTCGCATATTTGCAACTGTGGACTTTCCGGGTTAATTTCGTTCACAAAATCAAGTAATTTTCAGCATATCTTTTGGCAGAAAAGTATAGTGAAAGCTCACCAGGAACTGCTAGTACTACAATAAAAGTTACAGAATAGACCTTTATTGAACATTCTGAATACAAATTGCTGAACGCAAACATCTCAAACAGATTTCACTGGGTGGACAGGCAGCACACCAAATGAGACCATAACGAACTAGAACTGATGACCGCAAAGCGAATGACTCTAAGTCAGACCAGCATGTGGTACAGCTGTAAATCAAAGAATTGTAATTCACTGACCCAAGAAAGTCACTGCAGTGACAGCACATAAAGCACATAAATGTAATGTAAAAAAATCAATTGTAAATGTAATGTAAATAAATAAAAATGTAAATGTAAATAAAAATATAAAATATGAATAAAAATATGTAAATAAATAATGTAAATAAATAATAATTTTGCATAAATAAATTGTGTAAATAAAAAAATGAATGTGTGAAGCACATAAAAAAATGCAAAAAACAGTGTAAACTGTTCAACGCTGAATTTCTTTCTTGACGATGCCATCGTGGCTGAAAAAAATAGGTCATTTTGTGCTACAGCATAAACTACGTAATTGTATGACTGAAAGGACACAATTGCATATTGTAATTGTGCTTTAGTTGGGCCCAAAATCAATCAAAGAAATAAAAATTGTTTGATTTATTCTTCTAAATGATGAATGATAAGCAGAATCTTCAGCACAAACTTATATACACAGTGTACGTTATCATTTTATGTACAAATGTATTTTATTTTATCTACATAACTGTATACCTGAAAGGCCAGAGTTGCATCTTTGCAACACTATTCAAAATATCGTTCTAACAAAAATGTTGTTTTGGTAAAATTAAAACAACTATAATGGATGATGTCTAGAGAGGTTGTTTTAGCTTGATATATTCACTTTTACTTGGTTTCTTACCTTGAAGTATGTTATTTGGGTGTCTCAAATGGCGAGAGAGGGTGAGCACATGCTTGACATAAAGGAAGCCATGTTGAAATCTGCAGTTACAACATCAGGTGACAGATAGAAACACTTCCTTTGCGTATTCGCAACTATGGGATATACAGGTAATGAGATGTACAAAAAAATTTGTGGAAGCCATTTTACTTTTTTGGCCCTGCCCCTCAAAAAAGCATGTTGCATACCTGCGACTGTGGGTGCTACAGGGTTAATATTTTTGCCCAAATGTAGGCAAATGTAAGTGTGTTTAAGGTAGGCTATACACTAGGCTGTGATGTTTGTTAGGTTAGGTGTACTGTATTAGAATGCATTTTTGCCTTACGATATTTTCGTCTTACGAAATTTTCAACTTACGATGGGTTTGTCGGAACGTAACCCTGTCGTCTCCCGGGGAGAGGCTGTATTCTTCTTGCCATTTAGCTGTATTAATTCTGTTTTTTAATATATCCGTAGTTATATTCTGGGTCACCTCAGCCTATCTGCATTTGTTCTTTCCGTTATACTGCACACTCACTTCTGTTCTCTCCTCATTCCTCTCCTGCATCTGCTCTGTTCCTGCTGCCCTCATCGGCCCACAGTCCAGCTGCAGGATGAGCAAACTGAGCAAATTCTGAGGGGTCTCAGGGAGGTGCTGGTGGAGCGTAGCACCCTGGTGCTGGGCAAGGAGCTGGGTACTGGTAAGCAGGGGCATCGCAAGGACAAGGATACCCTGATACCCTGGCAGATTCAGGGGGCCTGGCGCATTATAGAGGTCCATGAACATGAAAAATGGGAATAACAGGGAATTGTTATTCCATTGCAACTGCCGACACAGTGACATCGTAAGAACGTAAGAAAGTTACAAACAAGAGGAGGCCATTCGGCCCATAGAGCTTGCCTGGAAGGAATTAAACTAATACATTATAGCTGGCAGGATCTTGTCAATTTCAGATTTAAAAGAATCTAGGGCCTTAGCTTGCACTACCTTGTCAGGGAGGGTATTCCATACTCCAGTTACACACTGTGAGAAGAAGTTCTTTCTCAGATCCAAACTGAAGAGTTCCTCCACTAGTTTCTGACTGTGGCCACGGGTTTTTGAATTAGAACTTACTTTGAAGTAACAATTTGGATGAACAGCATCTAGACCTGTTAGAAATTTATATACTTGGGTCATGTCACCCCTTAGTTTCCTTCAGTCCTATTGCTGCAGACATTCAGCAGCATTTTCTGATTAACTTATAGAAATAAGTATAGCGCCTTGCATAAATATTCACCCCTCTGAGTCTTTCCCACATTTTGTCATTCCACAGCCTTAAATGAAAATGGATTTTATTTGGCTTTGTGCTATCTCATTAGCACAACATGCATAGCACTTTGAAGGTGCAAAATGTTTCTTTATTGTGACACCAACAATAATTAAGACCAAAAGAGCACACATCTGTTGGATGTCCAAGTAAACACCACCCGCAAGTTAACACTTGGTGGAACCACCTTTCACTGTAATTATTATATGCAAGTCTTTTGGGGTATATCTCTACCAGCTTTGCACATCTAGAGACAGCAATTTTTGCCCATTATTTTTGCAAACTAGCTCAGACTCAGATGAATGGAGACCATTTGTGGGCAGTCATTTTAAAATCTTGGCACAGGTTCTCGACTGGATAGTGTTCTGAGCTATGAATGGGCCGTTCTAAGACATTCACATTACTTATTCACATTCCTTAAAGCCACCTAGTGTACCTCTGGCTGTGTGCTTAGGGTCAATGTCCTGCAGGAAGGTGAACCTCCACCACAGTCTCAGTTCTCTAGCAAATTGAACCAGGTTTTCTTCAAGAATGGACCTGTATTTGACTCCTATTGACTCCTACTGTATTTGATCTTGTCCTCAGTCAATTTCCTAGTACCTGCTGATGAAAAAGCAAAGTACAAATTAGATTATCCACATCTGTATTTAAATTGACAAAACATTCCAGGAGCCTATTTTTATCCTTGTTGTATCATCATAGACACAATGCAGGCTTCTTATAAATCACGCAGTAATACACAGACAGCGAGTTAGCACATTTGCCTTCCGAATCACATCAAGCATGTATGTATGTTCAGAGAAGCTATTCTGCACACCAGTGTTGTTCCAAGCTGTTAGTTTAGCTATTCTTCTCTGGGATCTTTCATTAACAAGATTTTATATGTACAGTATGAATCTTTGTGTTTTGTCCTGGCCTATTTGCAGGAGAATTTGGGTCAGTATATGAAGGTTTGTTCTACCCAGAGCAGGGACCTGAGATAAAAGTTGCAGTAAAGACAACGAAAGGTGCGTGTTCATTTTAATGTCTGTATTTATTTAGGATATAAAGGGAAGTTATTCTGTGTCTTGCAACCGTAGCTTTTGGTATAGGCTCTGGATCCCCATGACCCTGCATAGAATAAGAGTATAGAAAATGGATGGATAAAGTGACATAAAAGGAAAACTATTTATCTGAATAATAATTCATAGACCAGTGAAATTCTAAATGGAAACATGACTGAAATAAACCAAACATCAGGAGCATTTAACAAAGAATCCTTCTGTCCTTTTGTTTCTAGCTGGTATTTATAGCAAGGAAGATCTAGAGTCATTCTTGAAGGAAGCTGAGCTGATGAAGAACTTCAAGCACACTAACGTGGTCAGGCTACTGGGTATGATTCTCTTTTAGGCCATATTCATCACTGAACAGTTTGGCCTGTTTGGGATACATTTTTTTCCACAGGAAATTATTTTTCAGATAAATTAAACAAAGGTCAAATACATTTGGCATGCAATCAATTAAGGTTTTTTTTATTGGTAAATTATGTTCTGTTCTTGTTTCCCCTGTGTAACCTGCAGGGGTTGCTCTGGAGCAACAGGATGATTCCCCAGTTCCCATGCCTATGGTTATTCTCCCCTTTATGAAACATGGAGACCTGCGACGCTTCCTCATCGCCACACGCTATGGAGACATTCCCATGGTAACCCACCTCTTGTGCACAGAAATGCATGCACACGCCCCCCATGCTCATTTAAATTTCCATCTCCGCGGGGACCTTATGAGGCTTTGTGGCCTTTATGGGGACCACTTCTTTAAATGTCTCACCCACACATGTATCTGCCGCTTCAAAGCAACAGTCTCAGTGATGATATCAGCCACCATGAGCCACAGAATGTATTTGCATAATTCTGTGTTTAGAACTTGAAAGGGCAAGACACCAGCTTTTCATGAAAGTTGTATTATTTGCTGTTTTATCAATGGAGAAAAAAAAATACATTAGCCATTTGAAAAATTCTGCTTGTACTCTCAAAAGAGTGACCTCTGCTGTCCTCTGCATGGGGGATGTCATTATCTGAATAACCCTGAATTATGCTGCTCACAAAAGGATAAAACGTCTTCGTGATATTTATCTGGTGGAAGATTTTTAAGCCATGTGTGTGAGCTTACTTCTGGAATTATGTTTTGCTCCTTTCCTTTACGTAATTAGCCATGTTTAGTCATAATGGTTTTTTTTCCTTCAGAATAGAGGACTATGTTATAATTCAGAGAAAGCTGTAGCCTAAACAGGCTCAGAAGATTATGTTTTTGTGTCTCAGTTTGTGCCCTACCAGAGTCTCCTGCGCTTCATGATTGACATTGCTGCTGGGATGGAGTACCTTAGTTATTATGGCTTCCTGCACAGGGACCTGGCTGCACGCAATTGCATGTGAGTCCAGGAGGTGGTGCTGTATGACCAGAAAACTGTTTTTCCCCTTTTTACTCCAGTTTCAAGTTTTATCAATTGCTCCCACCAAATCCCTGGATTGTACTAAAGAAGTTAAAACCCTGATATGAAAAAACTGTATTAAAAGAAAATTTAAAATCAATTAAAATACAACAAAAACAACAAAATAAAACAAGTCAAGAAATAGACAGCAATAATATTACATATCTATGTGTGTGAGTGTGTCTTGCAGTGGGTTGGTGCCCCATCCACACTTCTTCCCTGCCTTGCACCCATAGCCTCCAGGATAGGTTCCAGGCCCCCTGCGACCCTGTATAGGACAAGCAGTTTCAGAAAATGGATGGTTGGATTATATATGTATATCTATAATATGATGATGATGATGATGAATATTATTATTATTCCCCTCCATGAATCACCACCTTATCATGTGCCTTTATGATTCTAGGAGCTATGTTGTCAGGGCAAAGTGTCCCAAGGCCCCACAACCCCGCCCCGATAATGGATGGATGGATTGATGGATGGATGGATTCCAATTTAAGTTCCTGTAGTCACTTGCCCTATTCAGGGTTGCAGGGGGTCTGAAGCCTATCCCAGGGGCTATGGGCACAACCCAGCATGGGGCACCAGCGAATCACAAGGGACAAGCACATACCATTCACTCACACATCCATACTTATAAGCAATTTGATAGCTCTAAATCACCTAAGCATATTTTTCATCAGATTTCTCTCCATATTTGGAATGTTTTTTCCATATGAAATTTCAGCCTCTGTTGGAAATTCCATCAGAAGTTCCATGTGTTTCTCATGTATTTTTATTTTAAGTGCTGATGCAGTGCTATAACAGTTATTAATTTGAAAACTGCGGTGCAAGTTGGCATATAAGACGGTAAGTCTGTATCTACTTTCAGTAAAGCAGGCTGTGCTCCTCTGCTCCACACACAGGCTGGGGGATGACTTAAGAGTGTGTGTGGCTGACTTTGGCCTGTCCAAGAAGATCTGTAGCAGCACTTATTATAGGCAGAAAGAGGCCATACGTATGCCAATCAAGTGGATGGCCATAGAGAGCATCGCAGACAACATATTCACTACCAAGAGTGATGTGGTAAGCTCCCTGTAGGCCTCCTACTGTCTAAATGACATTTGTTACATATTAAAATCTAATCTGGTTTTGGTGCCCAGGATTATTGACTCATAAACATATACAGTGGTACCTTGGAACACAAACTAAATTTGCTCCAAATTCGGTCCAAGTCGCATTTCCCCGTAAGAAATAATGCAAATGAATTTAATCTGTTCCAGACCCCCAAATGATTGCCTATTTAAACGTATCTACCTACCTGGCTAATGATAAAAAGCATTAACAATCAATATAAAACTAATACACACATGAAAAAGCGCACATACAAAAGCGATAAACTTGAAATAAATAACCAATGTCAATCTCCGAAGCGAGAGCAGACACATGTGCACCACTCACTATAACTTCCTTTTTAAATTTACAGTTATACTCACTACTTTCCTCTTTGGTCTGCTGCTATCACTATAAACTTTCTAATGGGTCATGACTACTGTATCACTAAAAGTACTGCAGATAAAGCACAAAAAATTCATACCGAACACAGCTTTTGCATGTCGAACTCAGTGTAGAGGTACCGCGAGTGATTTCTAGGCATCAGCATCGCAGTAGGTTTGCCCTTGCGTCAGCCAATCAGAGATGCATCTCGATCTGAACAAGTTTTAATGGGTCTGTTTTGTTTTGTTGTGTTCCAAGTTTTTGGTCGGGTTGCGGTTAGATTTTTGTCTGAATCGGTAGAGATTAACGCGTCTCGACCCATACAAGATTTAGCAGGAATGGTCAAGTTCCAAGATTTTGGTCGAGGTGTAAGTCAAAAAAAATTCAACAGACCTGTTTCATGTCCAACTTTGTCAAGTTAAGAGTAATTAATAATTGCATTCGAGTTCCAAGGTTCCACTGTATTTATTTTTAGATTGACAGAAGCTTTTTCCAAGCAGAGTGTAGCTGATGCTGAATGTGTGGACATTTTGCTGTGCCCCCTCTCTCTTGTGTCACAGTGGTCCTTTGGGGTCACCATGTGGGAGATTGTGACTAGAGGGAAGATGCCTTATGCTGCAGTCCACAACCATGAGCTCCTGGATCTGCTTGAATCTGGACGACGGCTAAAACCTCCTGACTGCGACCCCAAGCTGTGAGTTTGCTACCTGTAAATTATGGAAATGATGTATGGAGCTGAAACTTTATACAGTATGGATGTATCAGTTGAATTGTTATTCTTTTGTTTACGCCTATAGTATGTTTCTTAGTTTCTACAGTCAGTTTACATAAGTGGTACTTTGGCTCACTTTTGGTATTGTCTTCTTGATATTAATCATATACGGACAAAGCTTTTGTCCTCTGATTTGGATTAACTCGCACTGACACAGAATGTTCTGTATATCACTTCAAATGTGAACATATTGAACCAGGAGCTGTTAAAATGATGCTGAACTATGTAAAGCAGAGGTAGGCAAGCCTGATCCTTGAATGCAGGTATCCAGCAAGTTTTCCATCCTGCCTGGTCTCATTAATCACACTCTGTCAGAGTGTAACTCATCACGTAGGATAGAAAACCTGCTGTATACCTGTACTCCAGGATCAGGCTTGCCTGCCCCTGATGTAGAGAGCACATCTTTTTGCGTATTAACTATATTTCTCCAACCTGCCCCCCAGGTATAATGTAATGCTGAGCTGCTGGAGGCGGGACACCACACAGAGACCATGCTTCACTCAGCTGGGGGAGGAACTCCGAGTGATGCTGTCAGAGCTGTCCCCCCTGGAGGCCAGCGAAGAGGCACATTATATCAATATGGGCCTGCAGGTTGCAGAACAGGGTCACGCTGATGAAAAGAACCCAGAATGTGAGGAGGAGCTGGCCACTGGCAACGTGTACCTGCCTGCACCGGGAGCTTGTGGCCCCTCTGTGGAGGATGAGGAAGGATATCTAATGTACATGCCGGAGAAGAACTGACTGCATAGACCTGGAACAGGCAAACAACACAGAAATCAAATTCGTACAATAGGAATAATAGTAATGTCTCATAATAAATTGCTGTACTGAGAGATTTTAAAACTGATTTGAGGATGGATATAATTTAACTTTAAACAGAAGCCAAATGTATTAGACGACGTATGTTCATGCTTAGAGTACTTCAGTTGACTGAACTGAACAAAACGACAAGACATTTGCATATAAATATACAATTGTTATTGAGTGCAGTACAGTGATCCCCCGCCTATCAAGGAAGATGCGTTCCAGACCCATCAGCGATAGGTGAAAATCCGCGATATAGAAAAATCATATAAATAAACCTTTTTTTTATAGTTTAAGCCTTAAAATGCCCCCTCCCACACGCTTTAAACACATGTAAACTTACACATATGACCATATGATATGTGGATGTCAAGCTGAGCTAAGGATATGAGTAACATAATAATAATATGAAATGTGTGTATATATATACAGTATATATGCACATCTCTCTCTCTCTCTGTATATGTAATGGAATATATAAAAATAAAAACACATATGGCTCTTATATATTCTTTTCATCCTTCTTGATGTAGCGTACCGTCGATTCATTCAAGCCATAATGGCGAGCGACATCCGCATAACGCTTTCCTTCCAGAAGCATATCCAGGAGTTTTACCTTCTCCTGAATGGTCAAGGTCTTCCTCTGGTGCTTAGGCTCACTACTATCAGAAGGCTAATTAGAAGATGCAGGACGCTTGGGAGCCATCGTAGGGCTTAAAACAAAACCAAAACAATCGGACCACAAGCAAGGTACACGATACGCAGAGAACTATGACGTGTCGGGGATAAATCTGCGAAATAGCGGGGGCGCAATATCTGAACCGCAGTATAGCGGGGGATCACTGTATTATGAATACCATTATAGAGACAGTTTTAACAGTTGGTTGAATGGTCCAGATGTTCACTTCTCTTACAGTATGTACTGTACTAAGAAAGCAGCAATGCATATGTATATATTGCTCTATCACACAATTACACTGCTGCCTTAGTGCAAAATATAACTCATTATAAAGCAAATACAAATACAGTTTTTTTTATTTCTTTTAAAAACATGCATGTTTCTTAAACACTAATTAGTTTCTCTGTAGAACAGCAGATGATACTGCCTATAACAACTCCCCCTGGCTGTTTGTGCTATTCATTGATGTATTTCATTGCAAGTTAGAGGTTTGACAATTTCATATCTCAGTGAAGTGTCTGTTTTTAATTTAAATTGAATATTGTAGCAGCATGCCACAGCTCATCTCATAATGACTGAGGAAGGTTGTGCTTCCTGTCGTTTCCATCATTGGGATTCTGTCTGTCCAACCACAACTCGAATTATCACCTGGATATTATTTAAAAAAATATGTAAAATATTGGAACCATGGTTTCCCTTGTCTGGACGCGGGTCACCAGTGCCCCCCCCCCCCCCCCGGAGCCAGGCCTGGTCAGGCACAGCCCGAACAAGGCATGTGGGTCCCCCCTACAATGGGCTCACCACCTATAGGAGGGGCCATAGGGGTCGGGTGCGATGTGAACTGGGCAGTGGCCAAAGGCGGGGACCTTGGTGGTCCGATGCTCGGCTGCAGAAGCTAGCTCTAGGGACATGGAATGTCACCTCTCTGATGGGGAAGGAGCCTGAGCTGGTGCGTGAGGTTGTGAAGTTCCGGTTAGATATAGTTGGGCTCACCTCAACGCACGGCTTGGGCTCTGGAACCAGTCTCCTTGAGGGGGGTTGGACCCTCTTCCACTCTGGAGTTACCCGTGCGGAGAGGCGCCAAATGGGGGTGGGCATACTTATTGCCCCCTGGCTGGGCGCCTGTACGTTGGGGTTTACCGCAGTGGACGAGAGGGTAGCCTCCCTTCGCCTTCGGGTGGGGGGACGGGTCCTGACTGTTGTTTGCGCTTATGCGCCAAGCAGCAGTTCAGAATACCCACCCTTTCTGGAGTCCTTAGAAGGGGTGTTGGAGAGCACTCCTCCTGGGGACTCTCTTGTTCTGCTGGAGGACTTCAATGCTCACGTGGGCAATGACAGTGAGACCTGGAGTGGCGTGATTGGGAGGAACGGCCCCCCCAATCTGAACCCGAGCAGTGCTTTGTTGTTGGACTTCTGTGCTCGTCACGGATTGTCCATAATGAACACCATGTTCAGGCATAAGGGTGTCCATATGTGCACTTGGCACCAGGACACCCTAGGCCGCAGTTCGATGATTGACTTGTTGTGTCATCGGACTTGCGGCCGCATGTCTTGGAAAATCGGGTGAAGAGAGGGGCGGAGCTGTCAACTGATCACTACCTGGTGGTGGGTTGGCTCCGTTGGTGGGGGAGAAAGCCGGCCAGGCCTGGCAGGCCCAAGCATATAGTGAGGGTCTGCTGGGAATCCCCTGTCAGGAGGAGTTTCAACTCCTACCTGCGGCAGATCTTCTCCCATGCCCTGGGGAAGGCGGGGGACATTGAGTCCAAATGGGCCATGTTCCGCACCTCCATTGTGGAGGCGGCTGACTGGAGCTGTAAGGTGGTCGGTGCCGTGTCACGGCGGCAATCCCCGAACCCGCTGGTGGACACCGGTGGTGAGGGATGCCGTTAAGCTGAAGAAGGAGTCCTATCGGGCCTTTTTTGCCTGTGGGACTCCAGAGGCAGCTGACAGCTACCGGCAGGCCAAGCGGGATGCGGCTTCGGCGGTTGCTGAGACAAAAACTCGGGTGTGGGATGAGTTTGGCGAGGCCATGGAAAACGACTTCCGGACGGCTTCGAGGCGATTGTGGTCCACCATCCGGCAGCTCTGGGCGGGAAAGCGGTGCAACATCAACACTGTTTATGGTGGGGATGGGCTGCTGCTGACCTCAACTCGGGAAGTTTTGGGTCGGTGGAGGGAGTACTTCGAAGACCTCCTCAATCCCACCGGCACGCCTTCCAACATGGAAACAGAGTATGGGGACTTGGGTGTGGACTCCCCTATCTCTGGGGTGGAGGTCGCTGAGGTGGTTAAAAAGCTCCTCAGTGGCTGGACCCCGGGGGTGGATGAGATCCGTCCGGAGTTCCTTAAGGCTCTGGATGCTGTGCGGCTGTCCTGGTTGACACGCATCTGCAGCATTACGTGGACATCGGTGGCATTGCCTCTGGACTGGCAGACCGTTGTGGTGGTCCCCCTGTTCAAGAATGGGACCGGAGAATGTGCTCCAACTGTAGGGGGATCACACTCCTCAGCCTCCTTGGTAAGGTCTATTCGGGGGTTCTGGAGAGGAGGATCCGCCGGATTGTCGAACCTTCGATTCAGGAGGAGCAGTGTGGCTTTCGCCCTGGCCGTGGAACAGTGGACCAGCTCTATACTCTCCGAGGGTGTCCGGTTTGGTGACCTCAGGATTAGGTCTCTGCTTTTTGCAGATGATGTGGTTCTGTTGGCCTCATCGGACCATGACCTTCAGCTCTCACTTGGAGAGTTCGCAGCCAAGTGTGAAGCGGCTAGGATGAGAATCAGCATCTCCAAGTCTGAGACCATGGTCCTCAGCCGGAAAAGGGTAGAATGCTCTCTCCGGGTTGGGGATGGGGTCCTCCCCCAAGTGGAGGAGTTTAAGTATCTCGGGGTCTTGTTCACGAGTGAGGGGACGATGGAGCAGGAGATCGACAGGCGAATCGGTGCGGTGTCCGCAGTGATGCAGGCGCTGCATTGGTCTGTCATGGCGAAGGAAGAGCTGAGCCAAAAGGCAAAGCGCTCGATTTCCCAGTCGATCTACGTTCCTACCCTCACCTATGCTCACGAGCTGTGGGTAGTGACCGAAAGAACGAGATCGTGAGTGCAAGCGGCTGACATGAGTTTCCTCCGCACGGTGACTGGGCTCTCCCTTAGAGATAGGGTGAGGAGCTTGGTCATTTGGGAGGGACTCAGAGTAGAGCCGCTGCTCCTCCCCATTGAGAGGAGCCAGATGAGGTGGCTCGGGCATCTGATTAGGATGCCTCCTGCACACCTCCCTGGTGAGGTGTTCCGGGCATGTCCCACTAGGAGGAGGCCCCGGGGAAGACCCAGGACACGCTGGAGGGACTATGTCTCTCGGCTGGCCTGGGAATGCCTCAGGATTCCCCCGAGAGGAGCTGGATGAAGTGGCCGGGGAGAGGGAAGTCTGGGTTTCCCTGCTGAGACTGATGACCCTGCGAACTGACCTCGGATTAAGCGGGAGATAATGGATGGATGGATAGTATGAAAAGGACATACACTATATATATATATATATATATATATATACACTCACCTAAAGGATTATTAAGAACACCTGTTCAA